CTCTCTCTCTCTTTCAAAATAAATAAATAAACTTTTAAAAAAAGTATAATTCTTTCTACCTTTGAGAAATGTGCTGAATCATAAATGGTGTGGGAGAGGAAAGCTGAAAGCCGGGCAATAATACAACAGAAGTGTCTGCCAAGGTTCTCTTTTTGCCGCATCTGCTGGGAGAATGAAGACTGTTCTCAGCAATGAGACTGTCAGCATTCCAGAAAGTGTTGACATCACTCTGAAGGGGTGCACTGTTACCGTGAAGGACCCCAGAGGAACACTGTGGAGGACTTTCAGTCACATCAATGTAGAACTCGTAGTCCTTGAAAAGATAAAGGAGAGGTTCTGAACTGATAAATGGCAGAGAAATGGAAAGGAACTGGCTACCGCCCATGTTATCTGCAGTCATATACAGAACATGCTTGGGGGCGTTACACCGGGCTTCTGTTACAAGATGAGGTCTGTATACACTCATTTCTCCATCAATGTTGTTATTCAAGAGAATGGTTCTCTTATTGAAATTCAAAATTTCTTGGGCAAAAAATACACCCATGGGGTTCGGATGAGGCCTGGCATTACTTTTTTAGTATCTCAATCCCAGAAAGGTGAGTTAATTCTTGAAGGAAATGACATTGAACTTGTATCAAATTCAGCTGCTTTGATTCTGCAGGCCACAAGAGTTAAAAACAAGGATATCAGGAGGTTTTTGGATGGTATCTGTTTCTTTTTTTTTTTTTTAACATTTATTTTTGAGACAGAGAGAGACAGAGCATGAACGGGGGGAGGGCCAGAGAGAGAGGGAGACACAGAATCTGAAGCAGGCTCCAGGCTCTGAGCTGTCAGCACAGAGCCTGATGTGGGGCTCGAACTCACGGACCGTGAGATCGTGACCTGAGCGAAGTCGGACGCTCAACCGACTGAGCCACCCAGGTGCCCCTGGATGGTATCTGTTTCTGCAAAGGGAACAGTTCAGCAGGCTGATGAATGAAAGCTAAGTTGCCCAGCTACAGAAACAGCAAGATGCCAGATGATTCCTCAGACTTATTTGTGGTATTTTAAAGATACAATAAAAGCTGCGTATTGATTGGTGGGGGGGGGAGAGAGAAATGTCTAACAGCAGCAGATTAACGAGAACAAGATCGGTGATCTGGAAGATAGGTTGGTAAAAATATCCAGACTTGAGGAGAGAAAAATACCGAAAAAATTGAGGGTCGCTAGGGTGGCTCAGTCAACTGAGCATCCGACTCTTGAATTTGGCTCAGCTCATGGTCCCAGGGTCATGGGATAGAGACCTGCATCGGGCTCTGCGCTGAGTATGAAGCCTACTTGAGATTCTCAATCTCTCTCTCCCTCTGCTCCTTTCCCCCACCTTACATGCTCTCTCTCTAAAATAAAAAAATAAAAATTAAAAAAAAGATGTTAAAAATATTTTTCAAATATCTGTAGATACTGTTTTGATGAATAAGTTCCAATTAATATAAAATGATGTTAATTTCTGACCTCATATTAGCTTTTTGTTACTGTCTATTTTCTCAGTCATTGTTACTAATTTTACAATTTTTTAAAATATGTTTTACTTATTCTTTTTGAGAGAGAGAGAGAGAGAGGCAGAGTGTGAGTGGGGAGGGGCAGAGAGAGAGGGAGACACAGAGTTTGAAGCAGGCTTCATTCAGGCTCTGAGCTGTCGACACAGAACCCAACGCGGGGCTTGAACTCATGAACTGCGAGATCATGACTGAACCGAAGTTGGACACTCAGTCGACTGAGCCGGAAACTGAGACCCAAAGAAGTAAAATGACTGACCAGGTGTCACACCCAGTCACTGACTGAGTTGGGATTAGAACCCAGGCTTATTTCACACCCCAAGGATCTTTCCTCTGTATCACCTACTTTTGGCTAAACTGTAGTAAGTCTCAATCTCCCTTATGTGGCCTTGCATTAACATTGTAGTTTTCTTGCCTATAAGACCAAAATTTGGACGGGACAGTCCCTTCCAGTCTGATATTCTGTGAATTTATAAACCGCCGGAGACTGAGGGGGAAATTCTTATTTATCTTTGAGGCCCCACAACCTAACACATAGTATTTAATAAAGCTTGTTAACAAATAAGTGAATGAATGAATGGGTGATGAGGGAGGGAGGGCAACTATTATATCCTTTGGACACCTGGGAGTTTACGTGATGCCTTCATGGTTACATTGCCAGGAAGCAGGATCAGTGTCTGAACACGCCGTAGAAAATCTGGATCCTGAAAAGGCCAGAGAGAGCAATTCTCTTTCACAACGCAGTGGAGGCAGGCTGTCAGCCCACGACCGCCGCTGCAGAATTTAAAGAAAATTGTCATTGTGCGAGCTGGGCATGGTAGGATCAACCTAAAAATATACACCTGTACAACGTGAGAAGAAGCCAAGGTCAGAAGGACACGCGTGCAGCGTGGTACCAAACACAGCTGGCAGAGTGGCCTCTTAAGGTTGTCTCTCGTCAAAGACAGGGCACACAGGTACAGGGTCCTGGCCACACTGTGGTGTGCCATTGGTCACGTGCTCCCATGATAAATCACAAGAAGAAGATCCCCTGGCAACCAAACAGGCTCCAAGGACATCCACACACAATCCTCAGTCTACTCTTAAAATAGCTTCGGAAGCATCTTGATGAGGAACGGCTTTTCATTCATGCTGCACTTCTTACCCAACGTGCGGCTCCACAGGCCTCCCATGCAGCAGAAGCTGTAACAGCAAATCCTATTCTGCTGGCAACTCAAGCCCCTGCCTAGGCCATGACTTCTCTCTCTCTCTCTTTTTTTTTTTTGGAAAGATTTTATCTTTAAATAATCTCCACACCCAACATGGGCTTCGAACTTACAACCCGGAGATCAAGAGTCGTATGCTCCGCTGACTGAGCCAGCTGCGTGCCCCAGGACTTCTTAATTTAGTATAAGCAAAGGCAAATCTACCGCCAGTACTGCCCTTCCCACAAGGCGGAATATGAGGCAAAGCACAGGGCCTCTTCACAGCATGGCCCTCAATAATGCAATGGTCCCTCGATTTGTGCCACCCTGGCTGGACTCGCGCAGACAGCTGAAACTGGGGGGAGAAAGTTTCACAGACCTAGAAATGGGGGTGTAATGAAGCAGCACAAGCAAAATGGTCAAAATCAGGTATCAAAAGCTGGCTTCAGGCAGAGACAACGGCACACAATGTACGCTCCTAGATTGGAAAAACAATTGTTATGAAGTACATTATTTTTTTCATAAACATTTTATCCGCCTGAGCATCCCATGGGTTTTTTTAAAAGATTTTATTTTTGAGTAATCTCTATACCCACCGTGAGACTCGAACTTAGAACCCCAAGATCAAGAGTCGCAGTTTCCACTGACTGAGCCAGCCAGGTGCCACTGAGCATCCTGCATTTAAAACTTTTTTTTCACATTTATTTATTTATTTTTGAGAGACAGAGAGAGACAGAGCACAAGCGGGGCATGGGCAGAGAGAGAAGGAGACACAGAATCTGAAGCAGGCTCCAGGCTCCGAGCTGTCAGCACAGAGCCTGAAGCGGGGCTCGAACCCACAAACGGTGAGATCGTGACCTGAGCCAAAGTCGGATGCCCAACTGACTGAGCCACCCAGGCGCCCCAGCATCCTGCATTTAAAAAGCTGAAGGGTAGGGGCACCTGGGTGGCTCAATGAGTTAAGTGTCCGACTCTTGATTTTGGCTCAGGTCATGATCTCATGGTTCATGAGTTTGAGCCCTGCATTGGGCTCCATGCTGATAGCAAAGAGTCTGCTTAAGATTTTCTCTCTCCTTCTCTCTCTGCACCTCCTCCACTATCACTCACTCTCTCTCTCAAACAAAAGAGAAATAAAAACTGAAGTATAATTAACAGTGTTATATTAATTTCAGGTGTAAAACATGATTCAACAATTCTATACATTACACAGTGCTCACAGGTAAGTACAATCAGTCATTGTCACCAAACATTTTTACAATCTTACTGGCTATATTCCTTATGCTGCACTTTTTACCTCTGTGACTTATTTATTTTGTAACCGGAAGTTTGTATGTCTTAATCCCCTTTATCTATTTCACCCATCCCCCCACCTGTGAGGCACATTATTCAGACAACCGGAGAAATTTGAGTCTGGACTATATATTAGATAGCAATACTACATCAGTTAAATTTTCCGAGTTTGTTCATTTTACTGTGATTATCTAAGCATGTCTCTGTACTTAAGAGATTGATTTAGGGGGGTATTTAGGGATATAGCAGTGGTTCTCTATAGATAGACATGAAGTCCAGGGGTCAGAATTAGAGACAAAAACCAGAAGCTCCCTCTCACACACTGCCCCCCAACCCACATCCATATGGGTGCATTTGATGTTTCCAGAAAATATGCATGCTAGAGACCTGGAAATGGAATTAGAACAAAAGGCTGAATTCTGGGCTGCTCTGGCTATCTGCTTGCCCACACCATGCATCTACGTGCAGGGATGGACACTCACTTTGCTACGTCATCTGTGATAGAAACAGCTCCACTTCTTCCTTGTTAATCTGCATACCTTTTCTTCAACAGCTTTATTGAAATATACTTCACATACTGTACAATTCACCCATTTAAAGTATATAATTCATGGGGCACCTGGGTGGCTCAGTTGGGTAAGCATCCGACTTCAGCTCAGGTCATGATCTCATGGTTTGTGAGTTCAAGCCCCATGTCAAGCTCTGTGCTGACAGCTCAGGGCCTGGAGCCTGCTTCAGACTTCATCTCCCTCTCTCTCTGCCCCTCCTCTGCTCATGCTCTGTCTCTCTCTTTCAAAAATAAACATTAAAAAAATAATAAAGTATATAATTCAGGGCACCTGGTTGGCTCAGTTGGTTGAGTGTCTGACTTCGGCTCAGGTCACCATCTCACGGTTCATGAGTTCGAGCCCCACATCAGGCTCACTGCTGTCAGTGCCATGCCTTCATCAGATCCTCTGTCCCCTTCTTCCTCTGTCCCTCCCCTCCCTCTCAAAAATAAACATTAAAAAAATAAAGTATACGATTCAATGGTTTGCAATATATTCACAGACATGTGCAACCATTACCTCAAAAGGAACACTGTACCCTTAGCTCTCAGCCCGTACCTCTCTTCCTCCCAGCCCTAAGCACCATCAATTGACTTTCTATCTCTGGACATTTCATATGAATAGAATCCTATTACATGTGGTCTTTTGTGACTGTCTTCTTTCACTTCCCATAATGCTTTCAAGGGTCATCCAAGGTGTAGCATGTACTGGTATTTCAGTCCTTTTTATTTCATGGCCGAATAATGTTCCATTGTGAGGACAGAACATATTTTGTTTGTCCACTCATCAGCTGGGGGGCATTTGGGTTGTTATGAATAATGCTAATACAAACATTCACGTATAAGTTTTTGTGTGGACATATGTTTTCATTTCTTTCGGGTATATACTTAGGAGTTCAATTGCTGGGTCATACAGTAACCTTATATTTAATCATTTGAGACCCTGCCAAACCATTTTCTGAAATGACTCTAGCATTTTCTTCCTACCATTAGTGTAGGAGGGTTCTAATTTGTCCACATCTTCACCAACACTTGTAATTTTTTGTCCTAGCCAGCTTGTGAGCAGGGGGTAGTATATCTCACTCTGGTTTTGATTTTTATTTCCCTGATAACTAATGATGTCAAACATCTTTTCATGTGGTTATTTGGCCAACTGTACATCCTCACTGGAGACATGTCTATTCAAATACCTTACCCATTTTTTTAATTGGATTTTTTTGCCCTTTATTATTATTTTTTAAGTCAATTTATTTATTGTGAAAGAGAAAGAGAGAGAGAGAGAGAGAGAGGGGAAGCATGGGGGAGTGGCGGAGAGTGAGGGAGAGAGAAAATCTCAACTAGGCTCTGCATTGTCAGGGCAGAGCCCAACGAGGGGCTCTATCCCACGAACTGTGAGATCATGACCTGAGCTGAAGTCAAGAGTCAGATGCCCAACCGACCAAGTCACCCAGGCATCCCGCCTTTTATTATTGAGTTGTAAGTTTTTACAGATTCTGGATACAAGTACCTTATCAGATATGGGATGTGCAAGTATTTCCCCCCATTCTGCAGATTGTCTAGTCAGTCACTTAAAAAAAAAAATTTTAAGTAATCTCTACACCCAACATGGGCTGAAACTTACAACCCTGATATCAAGAGTCGCATGCTCCACCCACTGAGCCAGCCAAACACCCATATTTACTTTCTTAATGGTATCTTTTGAAAGACAAAAAATTTTTTTGAAGATCCAATATTTTTAATTTATTATTTTATTTTAGAGAGGGGGAGAGAGAGCATTAGTGGCAGAGAGAGGCAGAGGCAGAGGGAAAGAGGGAATCTATTTTTTTTTTAGACCCTCATCATCTTGTGTTTTTTTTCTTCATCATCTTCTTGTAACATAAGTTCTTATATAAAATACACTGAGAGTTTATTACATTCTGTAGTCTTGATAAAAAGGTAAGCCACAGATGTTTTCACAAAATTGTAATTATACATGTAACTTTTGTTTTTTCTTTTCAGATTCACCTGTTTATTTTTTTTCTTCTAAATACAATTTATTGTCAAGTTGGCTAACATACAGTGTATACAGTGTGCTCTTGGTTTCGGGGTGTAGATTCCCATGATTCGTCACTTATATACAACACCCAGTGCTTATCCCAACAAGCACCCTC